TTTATAAGTAAAACTTATAAAAATTTAATACTAGGGTTTTGACCTTAGAACAAGTTTGCTATAAAAATTTTTAAAAATATTTTTTAGAAGCTTTAAATGTTGAAATTTATTCTGATATTAAAAAAAAAATTTAAAAAAATTTTTGTTAAAAATTTTTATCATAGCTGAAAATTTTCAAAGTTACTATGTTTTATTATAAAAATAATCACGTGTTGCATTATTTATGATTGCCAGTGTATACATAATTCTTAATAACTATCATTAATTCCGGTAAAAAAAATTCACCGTTATTTTTCATCATACGCCCAATATCAGATATCTTATAAATATTAAACATATCAATATCATATTTACGTAATAAAATTCTTAATAAACCATGTTCAATAAAATTTTTATAATCAATAGAATTAATAGAATCTTCTTGAATACAATACAATGCACCTTCTATGGTGAATTGTTTTCCTCGAACAAAAAATGTATTTTTTGAGCACACATTCCTGAAAAATTTCAGCCATAACGTTGTAGCTTCATCTATAAAAAAACTCACTCACTTGGTGTATACTGAGAGATTCGTAAAATGAAATTGTTTCTATCAACTTCATTCATTTCTTTTGCGGGTTTTGAAATCTATAGAATAAAATTGTTATAAATTTATAAATAAAAAATATTTATAAATATATGAAATATTACCTTTTGTGTATATTCAAGTCAGTAAGATATTTTATATCGTTCATGTTTAGAGAACATGGTTTTCTTGAAAGTGACGCAAGTTTTTCAATATATTTGAAAATGCACAAGTACCCGACTTGTAGAAGACCCACTAACACCTGAGTGTTTTCAATTTTTTGAATTGATAGGCCTTTTAATTTTTTTTAATAATTTGCCAGTGAATGTGCTTTGAAAAGTATCATTTTTTTGAATTCAACAAGAGATACACATAATCTTACTGTATATTAGTTAATTACGTATATTATTATCAATTTTTATTGCCGAAATAATAACTTAACCGAATCGGCCGAAAAATCATTCGGCTAATTTTTTATCAGGTGTCCCAGGAATTATGAAAAACAGCTGTAACATTTTTACCGATGAAAAATGGTTCAGGGAGATTATTTATGCAAATCATGAAACTTAATTCTTATTAACTAAAGAAAAAATCGCGAAACGTATTATCTGTTATAAAAGATCATTACAGCCCTCATAAAATAAAGAAGTGTAGTTTTCTAAATAGCATTCGTTTTTCGGCGTAGTAGGTTTTTAAACTATCTCTTAGTTCTGATGCAACATTTTCACGTACTCCCTCAAAAACTTCCAACACATTACCTTCTACTCTTCTGGCAAACCCTTCTTTCTGGAGATATCTTCGAGCTTTTTTAACATTCACGCAGTTTAAATAAAGTACTGATTTTTTTATATAAATGTAAAGGTCTGGAACTTAATTAAATTAAGTAAAAAATTAATTAATAACTATTAAACAAAATAATATAGAGATGTTTTTGTTACACTAATATAACCAATCAATAAATGTTATATCTATTACTAAGAAAAATAATTTTTTTTTTACATTTCTTATTGTCAGCTTATATACAAATTTTATTTTTATAACAAGAATATAAAAAAGCGATACGGTTTGGCCTAAAGGATTCTCAAATTATTCTTCCGTTCTCTGTGTTACCACAGAGACACCCAACGAGTCTGCCACCTTAAAGGATATTACCTTGTTAACTGAGACCGGTGTGAGAGAAGGTGACGGTGGGTTCTTTCGTTTTTTTTTTTATCTTGTGAGTAAGTTCGTGTTCAATATATTGAGTCTACCAATAATCATCAGCCATCTCAATAGACCAATAGAAGTCTGCCCGAGAGTCCTCTGAATTATTGACTCGTAATGAGTATTGCTACATTAAGTATCAAATCTTAATAAACTCTGCGAAAACTATTTAAACCATTTATAAATTTTATTAATAAGTTCAGATTAGAAATAATAAAATTTGAAAACTGAGCTTTTAAAAATTTACATACAGTAAGTAAGTTCAGAGGGTTGTGGGTTTATGATGTTTTTCTGGTTGCTTTGTGTTTCGTTTCCATGCCCGTTTATATTGCTTTATTTAGGATTGACCAATCGATTAGCAGTTGCTTGAAACTATTGGTGAGATCTCATGAAATTCGGATTCTTCAAAAATTTTTGTGTTCAGTAATGAAGTTGAGTATGCATAACGTATCCGCGTTGCTAAAATCAAAACTTATAGAAGGATGTTGCTTTTTTATAAAGCTCTAGATGTAAGTAACTTTGCCAGAAATAAATTTGTGATGTAGTATAAACACCTTCATCAATAATCTCATGTTCTAGAAGTTGTGAATAAATTTGTTCTATAGTTAATTTTTTAGATAACTGAGGTATTTTTTTTGATTTATTATATAATTTATGTAAGTTTTTATAAATTTAATATTTTCTAATATAATTTTTTATTTTAATTAATAAAAGATAATAATATTTTTTTTATTTCCTGGTGAAGTTGCCAGTAGGTTTCGTGAGTATAAAAATCCTTAAGAACATGTCTAACAATAGTGAGAGTAGAGTTGACAGTTTTCAAAACAATCAAACCAATTTAATCAGATACGTAAATCAACCCTAATCAAATAACTGATAACAGGTGTATTGTATTATTATAATATGCCTAGTGACGCGAACGGCTAAGGCTAAGCCGCAAGCCGATCGGCTAAGCCGAGTCGATTATCGGCTCGGCTAAGGGTCTACTAATAAAGTATCGGCTCCAGAAACGGCTCGGCTAAAGACCTTGAAGCCGAATCAATAGCACATGACCATTAGCCAATAGTAGATCATATAGTTTTGTGACCTAAGTTATGCAATTGCTGAATTACAGTTTAATTCAGTAAATCTTCAAAGCTATTTCACGCTTTATAGCTTTCTAGCCCAATCGCTTACATGTATTTCATTTATTGAAAAAAATTTTTGCATAGAAAAGCAGAAGTATGTCAAGGTTTTTGTGAAATCATGTTACGTACCATTAGCGGCTCGGCTTGAGGTTGATTGGCTTATAAACGGCTCAGCTCTGGTTGCAGAGCCGAATGATCGGCTCAGCTTAAATGTTAGCCGTTCGCATCACTAAATGTGCCCAATCATAATCATTTGATGTGCAATTTACAAACCAGTATTTACAATGCAAAGTTGAAACCGAAACATTTCGACAAGTATTAGAGTACCAAAAATAATATTCTCCAATGTGCCTAGTATAAATACGACAAGCATTACAAACCTGACAACCCTATTTATAATCTCAAGAAACATTTATTTTTTTATATTTAAGCTGAAAATCAATCTATTATAAATCGAACAAAGTATTACTATTTACAAATTTGCATTCTAATACAGTAATAATTGGCACAAGAATCAATTGATTTCTATATGATAATTAAATGGAATCATCAATGAAAGTATCTATAACTGAAAAAATATTTTTTACATGAAATGCTACGAGAATCAAGGCTTATATAAAAGAATGTTTCTATTCCTTTTATCCGGTTCGATAAACTTGTCAATTTCTAATTTGCTAATTCGCAACTGAATATCTTTTTCCTTTTATCAAAAAATAAGAATAATAATTAATAAAAACCTCTTTCAATCTTTACTATTTAATATAGATAATTTAATATATACTAATTCCTTTACCTTTGCCCATTCAAACCTGGGAATTTGTAATATTCTCTGAATTAAAAGTCCCTTAGGAATTTGCTTTTCAGGCTTAATAATTCTCATAATTGCAGAATCTAGTTGAATTGCTCTATCTTCGGCTAACCGCTGTGATATCTTGACATCCAATGCGTCTTGTACCTGAAAAATTAAAAATATATAAAGTTGGTGTTCAAAATATTTATAACTACACAAATATAACATTATAATAATTCACACCCGTTTGGTCACTTCAAGATCTTCTAGCGTAATTATATTATTGTCAGTACCAGTCATGATACCAATCACGGCATCCAATGACTCGTTAATCCAAAATTTATTAGTGTTCTCTATATCATCATGTGGTGAGTCCTTTAACAATAATGGGATTTTCCCGAATATAAGTGATTGTAAAGCACGATCCAGTTCCGTGATTTCTAAAAACAAATATTGATTTAGTTAAACAATAGATAAAATATAAGATCTAGTTAATATGTCTTTGATAATATGACAAACCCAATTCAGTCCGACGTTTGATTTCTTCGTACGAAAGATAACTTCCAGGTTTCAAATCATTGAATAGCAACAATACCAAGGTTGAAAGTAAGCTCAAATCTATAAGAATATTTTTCTATACAAAAAGAAATAAACGATTTTTGCAATTATATTATATATCTTTACAGGATGTGCAAAATGAATAAATAATCATACCGATCCAAGAATCATTTCAACAATGCATC